TTTCATCACTGACCTCACCCAGGGGCAGAGAGCTAGGCGAGGGGGAGGGGAGGTCAAGGGTCGGCCCATTACATGCCAAGCAAAGCCAGGAATAGAGCTGCTTTGGGGGTGGTTGGGGGGACTGGGGCCCCATGGAAGCCCACATCCCCCCTCTGGCCAGAGGCGGCCCAGAGGCGGTTGAGAAGAGCGAGAGCTGCCCTGTACCCCAAGGGCAATGGGTCCATGGCTCCACCCAAGCTGGAGTGGGCTTCTGGGAGGTGAGATGCCCCTGAGCAAGGCCCCGCCCATCCTCAGCCCCTGCCGCCCAGTGAGGGGGAGACGCTTCCCTGCCCCCCCGGAATCTGGCCCCATAGACCTGTCATCCCAGGGCCGGCCCCCAGCCAGGCTCCCTTCCGCCTCCCAGTCCAGCTTCCCTGCTCCCGACCCTGCCTCAGACTCGGGGAGGAGGAGACGAGGCCCCCACCTCGCCTGCCTGTGGCTTCAGCCAGCACTGGGGTCCAACTGCTCCGGCCTCTGCTGGCGTCACCGTAATAGTGATAATGACAGGAAGTAAGTAGAGAGTGTTACACTGTTACAGCAATGGAAAGCAATTAGAGAGTGTTATAGGGAATTAGAAAAATTATTTTTGTGTGAAATATTAAAGAGCACAGGGAATGACCGCTCTGGCCAAGCCCTCGCTGCACCGTATAGGTAAGACCACAGCTGAATGCTACCTTTAGGAATGGTGTATGTAAACCTGATAGACACTTTCTGATTGACACATTGTGATTGATAATCAGCTTGTACTCTGGTTAACACTTGTGTGATGACAGATGCTACTGATAGCCCCCTGGACTGCCGTGGGCCAGAACAGGCTTAAAAACAGGCCCCCACTTCAGACATGATCATCCTCTTGATCCACGCTCCACGCTGCCTTGCTCCACGGATGGCAGGAGAACGGCCGAACCTCCGATCGGGAGACTTCAGTCGCCCTCTTCCCGCTGACTCGACCCAACCAGACGGCCAGCCACCCAAAGACGGATCTGCCGCTGCCCGCAGAGGACGCCACTCTCCCCTGGGGACCCCGTTAAGCCTGAGCCCACGGCATCAGGAACCTTGTGAGTAATAAAGTGCCGTGTGACTTGCAACTGCATGTTCTTGTGTGGCGTCCTTCCTCCGCAGTCTTAACTGTCCTGTATAATAAAAGGGTAATGTGCAAATGACTAAACTGCCGAATGCCTGGTCGCTATGACGTGCACTGACCACCAGAGGGCAGACGCTCAGCGCAGGAGCTGCCCCCGGTGGTCACTGCGCTCCCACAGGGGGGTCTCTGCTCAGCCACAAGCCCGGCTGAAGGCTGGCTAGCACAGCGGAGGTGGCTGGAGCCTATTCCGCCTCTGCAGCAGCCCTAAGGCTGTCCGACTGCTAAAGGGCACAGGCTGAGCTGAGAAGCCCCCCTCACCCCCCCAGTACATGGAGGTCATGCACCGGGCCTCTAGTATTAATATAAGGTCAGATGACAATGCCTGCCCTCGGTCCTGCTTGCTTAGAGTAGTCTCGTTGCTGACAACTACTTAATGCCCTAACACTTGCACCTTTAAGTTTATCTCAAGGGACACCTTGGATAAAACCCCATATTCTCTGCTCGGACAGCTGGGCTCCTGGGCTCCCAGGGCCAGGCAGAGTGGGGCCCTGATTCTGACAGGGGGGCTCCCTGACCCCGCCTGGTCCCTGGCTCCTGCTCTCAGCGGCAGTCCCTGCCTATTCCTGCGCTCTGCTGTTTGTCGCTCTGCTGTTTGTCGGTGATAGTGGTGTGACCGTCAGGGCTGCCCTCGGGGGACTGCCGTCTGCTGGGGAGACAGACAGACAGACAGACAAGCAGACAAATGTGTAATCCTGGGAATGAACGGTGCTCTGACAGCCTGCAGCCAGGGCTGTACTAGAGCTGGTGCTCTAGGGGGCTTCCCTGAAGCAAGGATAAAGGAGGAGGGAGCAGACCTGGGCAAGGAAGAGCAGCTCAGGCAGAGGGAGCCGCCAGAGTAAAGGCCCCAAGGGGGAAACACTCCAGCATGTTCCAGGACCAGCAAGCGCCAGAGGCCTGGAACAGAATATGCACGGGGAGCAAGGGGGCCGTGTGCTGGGGGAGCAGCCAGGCCCCCCTCTGGACCTGGTTCACCCTGGGGGCGAGGGGACCTGGTTCACCCTGGGGGCAAGGACCTGGTTCACCCTGGGGGCGAGGGGAAGACCTTGGAGGGTCTGAGCAGGGGGTGTCACGGCCTGACTGACACTGGAACCGACACGCCATCTCTTACAAGAGCCGCGTTACCCAGAGCCCAGGCTCAGAGAGGCCACAGGGTTGCCACCGAGTCCAGCGCTCCACCACCTCCCACGAGGCCACAGTCGCGCCCTTTCCCGCCGGGCCCCCCGTTAGAGTTGGGGCCTCTCCTGATGCCCTGAATGGGAGGTTGTGACCTGGGTTCACCGGCCGCTCCCCCTCGTGTCAGGCCCAGACCTCGCTTTCCTGCTCTCTGATGTGTCCTCCAGGCCTGGACGTCGCAGGTGACTGACACTATTTGCTGAAGGAACCAATGCAGAAGGGCCAGCCCACCTCTAGGGGCTCTGGTGAGCTTCCCAGGAGACAATGGAAGCCGCGCTCCAGGCCCGTGCCTAGTGAAGGCCCCCGTAAGTGCTGGCGGCTAGCAGTACTGTCATCATCTGTTTGAATTTAAAGCCCATGCCCTAGATCTCTATGCTGATGATTGAGCCAAATGCCACCCACCGACCCCTGGTTTCTTGACCTTTAAAGGGGCTGCAAAGCCAGGGGTGAGTCAGGCCTGGGGCTACAGCTGCGCTAAAGGGCAGGCAGGTCAGACACAGCACGGCACGTGGATACCCAGCCTCGTCCATCCCCTACCGACTGCAAAGACTCGTGGTCTCTCCAGCCAGCCCTGAGCTGGGCGGGGGGGTGGCAATGAGTGGAGTGGGAAGTGGGGGTGTGGGGTGGGGTGTACAGCTCATGCAGCTCCAGTCCCCAGGGGTGTTTCTCCGAATGGCCACTTGGTGGCAGCACGTCCCCAGGAATATGGGGTTGAGGGGCAATCTTTTGCCTTTGAATCTGAAGCTCAGGAACGGAGGGAGGAAGGAGGGAGGGAACCCAGGCCCAGAGAGAGGTTGGGACGGGCCCAGGGTCACACAGCTTTCAGTGGCAGGGCAGGGCCAGGCAAGATGGACTCAGGATGGACTCAGGAGCAGAGCCGGGGAGGAGGAGGAGGAGCAAGCTTGGAGAGGGAGGGCCTCCTGGGAGTGGGTGGGTGTTCTCACCCCCATTTCAACCCCTAGAGCCCTACCCATCTGGAAGAAGGTGTCAAACCTCCGCTCTGAGACACTTGTTTGACCCTCTCGCCTGTGACTCTGGCAAAGGTGGCAGCTCTCCTTATCACCCTGTCACTGTGCCCACTGTCTGCCTTCATCCCCCTCCCCTGCCACAGTGACTTCCTGAGAACAGGGACTGTACTGTGCAGCCCCTACTGCCTGTACCACTGTGCCCTCTGCCTGTCACCCTGCCCCTCTTCGTGGCCTGGGTACCACCAGCACTTCCTTCAGGACTCAGCTGAGATGTCACTTCCTCCAGGAAGCCTTTGGCTCCTGCTGCTGGGGAGGCCTGCGGGCAGGGCTGTTGGTGGACCTGAACCGCCCCCCACCCCCCGCCCTCCCGAGTGCACACAGACACTGTGCCTCCTGAGCCCCTGACAGTGTGCCATCGCAGTTGGCTCTGAAGCCGCCCGTGGAGCTTTGTGAAAATGCAGCCTTCTAGATGCCCCTTCCCCAGAGACTCGACACACAGGACTGTGACAGAGCCCAGGACTCTGAACACCTCCCTGGTGAGCCTGAGGCAGGGCCCGGCCATCAGGAGGCCCTTTAAAGGTGCCATCACCCCTGCCCCCTGAAATAGTTGGGCAAAATGATTATAATCAGGGGACAATAAAAACCTGACATCTGTGCCAAGTGAGTCACTAACAAAACACCTTCACACCCATTTCTCCCTTTAATCTCCATCTTTACAGCTACTATCTTGGGAGGGATCACCATCCCCAGTTTACAATACCCACGGCTCAGGGGCAATGGGTGATTTGCCCCCAATCCCCCAGCTACAAACTAGCCGAGCTGGGGTTTGGTCTGGGGACGTGCTGAGGAGGCAGAGCCGCAAGCTATGTTAAAGCTCCTAGGGTTGGAAAGTGCTGTTTGCCGAGGACCACAGTTCCAGAACTCAGGGCATATATACTTGGTCTTACGTCCCAGGGGTCTGGTGATCCCCATGGAGGAAGCTCAAGCTACTGACTGCCACTGTCCAGTTCAGGCCCTCGTCATCTCGTTCCCTCTCTGCCCATCCATGTCCTCTCCTCCAGGGCCCGGAGAACGTCCCCTCTCACATAAGGTCACAGCTATTTTGATGCACTTCATCCTCAGCCAGATACTGTCCCAGGTTCTGTGGGAGATCGGAGGGCAAGACCGGCCACCAGAGGCTCCCTGTCCCGCTGGGGAGACAAGAATGCTTACTTCGGTGATGGAACAAGGCGCTCCAACTTTCCTTCCTCTCCAATAAGTGCACGGTCCCAACCTCGCCCTTTGATTGGCTGGAACATGTTCCATGCTGTGTTTGCTGACCCTGGAGACCCCTCCCCTGACAGCATAAAGTGGGTCAATATTTTCACTCTAACAGGCATTACAATGCAACCTGATTTTCTTTTTTCTGTTTGTCACAGTGCCACCTGTTGATGGAGACCCAGCATCCTATGGAAGGGATGATAAAGTCAGTACGTAGGAGGAAGAGAGACGGGGTCACGGTGAACTTAAAATCCTGTGAAGGTGACCTGAACTGCAGAGCAGTGGGTACATGGGAAGGTTGTTGCTATGGTGGCATCTGCACATCTGATGAGGCTCAGATTAGCTCCCTCAGAGAGTGGGGTGGAGCTCCTATCAGGCCTTGGGCTACTAGGATAGTCATCTTTCTGCACCTCTCCTTCTCCCTACACCCTGGCAGCTAGGGAAGGAAGCTGGACAGGCCTGGACCCATGCTTCCTGGGGGAGGTGGGTGCCAGGCTGTGGCTCTGGGAGCACCAGCCCCCTCCGGGGAACCCGCTGTACACAATAGCAGTGGCAGCAGAGGCTGGTGGGGAGATGAGGTTCGGACTCCTTGGCTGGGGAGCACTGATGGCATTTCCTGACCCTCAGTGGGACTTCAAAGGGCTGTTCCTCAGGGTTAACAAAGGAGATGGGGTGTGAGGAATCTCTCACCAAAGACCATAGGGAGCATCTGCCTCAGGGCTTAGCTTGCACGCGGGGAAAGGAGGCATATAAGAGGAGGGAAAGTAACTTGTCCAGTTTGTCAATAGCAGATCTACTGGACACAGGTGTGCACGGGTTGAAAGGGCGCTGGAGGAGGCCGCCTTCTCAAACTCAAGATCTGAATCTTAGACCAGATCTTGGATGGGTGGCTCTGGATAAAATCCCTTCCCCTCCTCTTGCATTTAGGCTCCTGGTTTGCAAAACTGGGATTAGGCTGCCCCTGACACTGCCATTGTAGTGGAGGAGTCACAGCATGATAGGACGGGGCGTTGAAAAGGTGGAAGGATTTGTAGATCATTGGACTTCGCCGAAAGTCTCCCCAGCCGAGGATGCTTCCGTTGCCACGGCAACCGCCCTGCCGGCGTGGTCCCTGGCGTCCCGCTGAGGACGCTGGGAAGAACCCTGCCCTTACCAAGATGGCGGCGGCCTCGGGGCAAGGGGCGGGGTCGAGCGCTGCCGGCCTGTCCAGACCTTCCCTCTGTTTCCGCTTTCTCAGGCTAACGGCGAGCTTCCGTTCATACCGGTCCTCTTTCCTGGTTCCGGGAGCCCCCGGGAGCCAGGGAAGGGGAGGGTTGCCTGCAGGGATCGGGGCAAATACCCAGAGAGGGAAGGCGTGACTTCCGCGTCCCTCCGGAAGTGACGCGACAGTCGCGGCCGCCGACAGGTGGAACGGCAGGTGGGTTCAGGTGCCAGCCTGGCCCAGACCGACTGCGGGACCGGCGTTTCCGGTGAGCCACAGAGGCTGCTCCCAGGGCCTGGAGACCTGTGGGCGGCTCTAGGACCTGCGCCCCTCGCCCTGGCCTGGAGCCCACCCCTGTTCTTAGTAAGAATCACCTACCCCCCGCGTCCCGAGGGGAGGGCGCCAGGGTTGCCCCGGCTCGGGGAGCATCCAGGCACTTCGGTTCCCTAAGCCCTGCGCTCTTTTCCTCCCGGATCCAGTTCTCTGTGCCCCTGCCGAGCTGGGCAGTTAGCCAGCCCACCTCAGCTCTCGGAACCATGTTTGCAGACTTGGATTATGAAATCGAAGAGGATAAACTGTGAGTACTTTGTTCCCCCAAGTCCCCAAAGTGCAGGCGCCCCAGGCCCCCCAGATCCCGGTACTCCCCAGGCCCGCCCACCCTTGCTTCTCTGTCCTGGAGCAGAATGGACCCTTCCCTTCCGGAGCTCACCATCCCTGGGGGCGTGGAATCATGGACAGGTCATCACAGTTCGGGCCCTGAGGGCCTGGCTGCAAGGGGAGCAGGGCCGATGGAGCAGGGGCCGGGGAAGGCTTCACAGGGGAAGGGCAGCTGAGCCAGGTTTGGAAGGATGAGCAGGGATATCGAGCTGACTGCCTTCCCCGGGGTTGACAGCTCGTGGGACAGGTTTTCAGAAGTTCTGCTCGTCTCCATCTGAGGCGAATCCTCCCTCAGAGCAAGGACTGGCCTTTTTGTGTCCTCGGCTCTTTGTCAGGTGCTCGGCGTCAGTAGCTGTTAGCAAATATTTGTTGCATGAGTGAGTGAATGAGAACATCTCCTGCAAAGCATAACTAAGTGCTCATTTCTAGTGAAAACGGAGCTTTAAGTTGAGAGATGGGTGATGGGAAGTTTAACAGGACGAGAGCATCATGTCCCAGATGTACCTGAGGAGGTGACAAGCCTGACTCAAACCTCAGGGGGGATGAAGCGAAGGGAAGGGGGGCCTGTTTTCATGGAGTGCTTGCTATGGGCAGGGTTGGTGTTAAATGTCCTTTGGGCTCTTTCTAACTCTGGTAAAGTAGCCATTTAATCTGAGATGGAGAGAGGGTAACCGACCCAATCCATAGCTGATTCATGGCACAGCTGGGAGGTCATCCCGCATCTGTGTGACTCCAAGAGCTGTGCACATTCCGGCACAAGATGCTGTCCCTCTGGCCAACGGTGAGAGAAAAGACGGTGCAGCATTTGGAGCCTCGTGGGGTTTCAGAAGGCCTGTCCCCTTCCGGTCCCCCCGTCATGCTTCCTCCGGAGACTCAGCCTCAGGTGCTTGTCTTTCTAGCGGGATCCCCACCGTGCCCGGGAAGGTGACCCTGCAGAAGGATGCTCAGAACCTGATCGGGATCAGCATTGGAGGAGGGGCCCAGTACTGGTGGGGTGAGGTCCTGGAGGGGGCGGGCCACCTCCTACTTGGGCATGACAAAGGCAGGTTCCTTCCTCTACTCTGCAGAGCTGGCTCCTTCTCATTCTGGAGGTCCGACCTCCTGAGAGGCCTTCCTGACCACCCCCTCTCCCAGGTCTGCCCTTGTCTCTCTCTGTTATTTCAGTCTTTTTTTCCTTCTCAGCACTTACCACCATCTGTAAGTGGGGGTTTGCTCTCCGGTTGTTCTGTATCTGGCTGCTTTTTCAGACTCTTTGTATTGCGAGGGCAGGGCCCAGGTTGCTTTTCACAGCAGTCAGCTCCTGGTATAACCCCTGACAAAGAGTGGACCCTCGATAAAATATCTCTAATGAGTCAACAAAGCTGTCAGCCTTCGGTACCAGCACAAGTGAAGTGTAGTGGAAAGACTAAAAGACTATGACATGACATTGGCCTGAGTTCAAACGCAAGCTTCCCTGCTTATTAGCAAGTTAATTAACCTCCCTGGGCCTCAGTTTCTTCACCTGAAAAGTGGGGATTTAAAACATGTAAAGATGAGCATCTTCGGGTTGTTGGGAAGATTAAATAAAATGACATAACACAACATCTGGCACACCATAAGTACTCATTAAATAGTAGTTCCTGCTATTTTTACTTTAAAAAAACAACGAGAGAAAGAGAGGGAGAGAGAGAGAGAGAGAGAGCAGAAGGGGGGGGGGGGAGAGAGAGAGAGAGAGGTGAGAGAAGCATTGATTGGGGACCAAACCCACAACCTGGGCATGTGTCCTGACGGGGAATCGAACCTGCCACCGTTCGGTGCACAGGACAACGCAGCCAACGGAGCCACACTAGCCAGGGCACAGATGCTGTTTTTATGGCATTAGTTCACTCTCCAGCTGATCTGCCGGCGGTAATGAACAATTCTGTGGTCCCTGTGGAGGAAGCTGCCTGGTGATACGCAGTCAGCTGTGGCTCAGGGGTGGGGCCAGGCAGTGATCTCTCTGTAGCCCTGGAGGGAAGCTTGCCACCTTGGACATAAACTGGACCTGGATTCGAACCTGTTCTGACAGCTAAGTGGCCATTGGTGGCAGATGGGAAAGTCCAGCCTCTGAGGATCTTGCAAAGGGTCGCTTCTAGGTCCTGACGACGGACATTCTGGGGACCTGGTCTTGCCGCCTCAGGGTGCTGCCTTCACGAGGGGTTTGGCCTCACCTGGCCCAGGAGGTATCAGGGAGGCGCCCCGGAGCCTGGCCTCCTGCCATATGCCCGCTTAGCCCCTCTCTCCCAAAACCACTCCGCTTCCTCTCACCCTGTCTTCGCAGCGCAGTTATTTTGTAATTTTGGCTAAATCGGTATCACTTGGCCCTGCCTGGTTTGGCTGAGTGGATAGAGCGTTGGCCTGTGGACTGGGGGGTCCCGGGTTCGATTCCGGTCAGGGGCACATGCCTGGGTTGCAGGCTCCATCCCCGGTGTGGGGCGTGCAGGAGGCAGCCGATCAATGATTCTCTCTCATCATTGATGTTTCTGTCTCTCCTTCTCCCTTCCTCCATGAAATAAAAAAAATATTAAAAAAATAAATCAGTATCAGCTTGGAAGAGCATTGTTAGAAAAACCTTTAAAAAATGAGCGGAGGAGCAGACACTCGGGTGTCCGGTTGGGTGTGTTTGGCGCTAGAAAAGGCAAGTCTCCTCAGCGCGCGTCTACCTCCCGCCCTCCCCTCCAAGTATGTGGGCTCCTGCGCTCTGTCCGTCCAGGCTTCTCTGCCCTGCCCTTCTCTATACCTGAGGGACAGGAAGGCGCCTGGCCGGTGTGGCTCAGTGGTTGAGCGTTGACTCATGAACCAGGAGGTTACTGCATGATTCCCGGTCAGGGCACATGCCTGGGTTTTGGGCTCGATCCCCAGCAGAGGGAGTGCAGGAGGCAGCCTATCGATGATTCGCTCTCATCACTGATGTTTCCCCCTCCCTCTCCCTCTCCCTCTCTCTGAAGTCAGTCAAAATATACCTTTAAAGAGAGAGAGAGAGAGAGAGGGACGGGAGGCTAGAGGCCAGGACGGAGCCAGGCACTAGTTGGGGCGAAGGCAATGACTGTCTCCCGCCCGGTGTCTCAGCTCTCCCCTCCCGCTGCTGCACCCCCAGGTATTTGACAACACGCCGGCAGCCCTGGACGGCACTGTGGCAGCTGGCGATGAGATCACCGGTGTCAATGGCAGGTCAATCAAAGGAAAAACTAAGGTGGAGGTAGCAAAGATGATCCAGGAAGTGAAGGTAAGGGCTGCCCTGGGAACGGGGGGTGGGGAGCCGGGGAGCGCGGCCCTGAGCCAGGAAAGGCACTCTGAGGCCGGCAGGCCTGGCACGGAGATCGGCCCTATCCCTGCTCCCCACTCAGAGCATCAGGGTCTGGTCACACTCCAGCTCCCCTCGGTGTCACCTCACTTGCTCAGTTGGTACTAATTGCCCTGCAGGACTGGGGCTGGGCCTTGGCACGAGAGGGGCATCAGGAACCAAAGGTGCCCAGGGAGCCAGCAGGCTCAGAACCGAGCTTCAGGGCCCAGTGTGTCCCCAGTCAGAGCTGAAGCTGGGAGTCCACGGGGAGCTTCCCTGGGTCACAGACACCCCGGTGATGCCGGCTGAGCTGCGGTGGGCCTGGGAGGAAGATAGGAGCCTCCCTGGCCCGTCCCTGATGGAACTTTCACCCCAGTGGGTCCTTCTGGGCTTGCAGACCCCCAGGGGCCCCTCTTGGCTCTGGGGCAGCTGCTGGTCTTCTGTTCCTCCACCACAGTCCCACGCTGCCTGCTCCCTGC